GATAGATAGATAGATAGATAGATAGATAGATAGATAGATAGATAGATGATAGATAGATATATAGATACACACACACACATACACCACACACGCACACACACTATATATATATATATATAATTATTATTTATATTTATATTTATATTTGTGGCTGACTAGATCTGTTAGTGAATATCATTATTTATATGGCAGAGGGAGAGAGAGAGAGGAAAAAAAATACTTGGAAGATAAAATGTAAAGCTTTGTTTCTCAGTCATATTATTCAAGAGTTTAATGTTTTTCCAAAGCGGTTTTTGTTAGGATGAATGTTGACTGGAGCCTCTTTAAAAATGAAACCAATGATTTAAAAAAAAAAAAAAAAGCTATTATTTGAACCGTGAGGATTTGAGATGTAATCTTGAAATATTAATTTAGAGAGGAGGGAACTGAAGCAACCTCAGCCATGTTGCTTAAGGGGATTACAAGAAGTTCAACACGATGTCAGTCGTTTAAATGAGCAGCGAAGAGATTAATCTTTGCAGCTGGATATTCAGGGGGATTAAAAAAAAATGACCAGTTTTTCTTGCTCATTGCACGTTTCAGAGACTTGAAGAGATCAACAGCATGATCAGAACGGGGGAGACCTCGAAAAAGAGAAGCATCGTCTTAGAAGAGGGGGCCGAATCGCCAGCCAAGCGCATGTGTCCAGAAAACCACACGGCCCTTCTAAGAAGGTTGCAAGATGTAGCCAACGACCGGGGCTCTCACTGACGTCAAAGACTAACCGAGGATTGATTATTATTATTTTTTTTTAATTGCCATCTGGGCTGTCTTTTAACATTTGACCAGTAATAATAGAACCTGCGACTTCCACATCTCCCAAGGCACTTGGGGGGGGGGGCACTCCTGACATCCAAAGAGGAGTCCTCTACTTACGGAACCACGGACTGCCTTCTGCTCAAAGGCAATCGGGAAGTTTGAGCAGAAGCATCACTTCCGCCCTCATAAAGCACCGGTGGATCTGGTTTACCTCCTCTTTTTTTTTTTTTTATAATTTATTCGGTAGAAGGGATTGGTTTTAATCTCAGAACTGGAAGACGAAGTATTTTTACATTAGCCCATTAACCTTTCTTTTCTTTTTTTTTTAAGCGATCTGATCCGGTGTCATGTTTAGAATCTGCAGTATTTTAATCGCATTTGGAAATGTGGCAGTCAGCAGTGATGGAATCAGCTCTGTGACTAATTATCTGACCCAGTTCAGAACTGCTGTGAACCTTTCTTTTAAATTAGGAGTGAAGATTCTGGAATGTTTGTCAGGCAGTAGTTAAAGCACACTGGAGACAGACCAGAAATTGAAATGGAGGGGATTAGAGGACTTAAACCTTCCCTTCTTCTCTTCTCTTCTTTCTCTTCTCTCCTCCTCTTCTCCTTCTTTGCCCTTTGGGTGATATGGGAATATTGTGTATTTATACCACACTTTTATTGTATTTTAGCTGTGCAATGTTTCAAGTCAGCGCCTATCAGCAGGTAGCACTTCACTAGTTCTCAGATGCAAATTAGTTTTGCAACCTTGACAATGGCACTTTTGAAAAAATATATATATATATATATATTTTAAATAGCAAACCCTAAGATGAAAAGCTGTGTTAAACTGCTTGAATTTATTTATTCTGGAAGCGCACAGAAGTCGTACTGAACTCCCAGATATTAATATTTTAAGGTCGGACTCTTAGCCTTCCCTGTTTGTTAGCTTTATCGTAGCAGTTGGTTTTGTCTTGCCACTGGTCTTTTTCAAAATGAGGAAAACATTTTGGATTATCCTGGATTATCATTGCAGCTGTTTGGTCCATGGGAATCTTTAACTGCTTAAAATGGAGGTCAGGAAGAATGATGTAGAAGAAAGATCTGCTCTTACTGAAGAACAGGCCCACCATCTAGTGTACTTTTGATCACAATGGCTCACTAGCATGCAATAAGACCATTTCCTCGCTTTCTTGGGGTTGCCATGAATTAAGCCTAGGACTCTATGCATAATTTGGACTGCGGTTTTCATGTGGTTCCTAATACATGCTGAAAAATTCAACTTTTCCCCCCATGAAGGGGAACAAATTGAGTCTGTAGAGAAGTTAAAAATGGTATTTGGGCAATTGGATTGGTCACTTGGAAGACTAATACGATCCCGTTTAGTATTGCCAATGTTTTGCCCTGGATTGCATTTGCAACAAGATCTGTGCTGCTCTTAAAATTGCTCCAAGGGGATCTAAATGTCGACATTGGAGGAGGGATTTTAGCTTTAGGAAATGATCAACTGGACATAAACCGAATGCAGGGAAGTGGCCATGAAATGGGGCAAGATTTGGTGCATGTACGTTTAGCCCGTTTGTGTGATCAATAAGTTTTATAAAGGAACAAAACCAAAAAGGTATAATTTAAAAAAAAAACACCTGCTAATTCAGGCTTCCATCAGGCACTCTCAGCGGCTCTGCTTTTTGTCGTCATAGCGTCTCAAAGGGGGAGGGGGGATTTTGTGTCCCATAGATTAAGCCAGGGGTCCCCAAACTCGGCAATTTTAAGGCTTGTAGACTTCAACCGCCAGAATTCCCCAGCCAGTTATGTAGTTGAAGTCCACAAGTCTTAAAGTTGCCAAGTTTGGAGGCCTCTGGATTAAGCCATAGTTAAATAGTGTAAAACCCTTCCCTCATTTAGTAGACTTTGGATTCAAAATTTCCACCCAGTCATCTTCTGAGATGGGTCTCTTGCATCCAGAGTGGTGAAAATGTACTTAAATTTACCTAATGATACCATTATACAAACGGCGTATTTCCTGATTTAACAAACTTTGGGGCATAATAGAAGCCCTTTTCCATTAAATGTCCTGTTAACTTGAGGTTTTACTATACTTGGAAAATCCGAATAACTAAGGACTTCTTGTCAGCATTCCAAGTAACTACCTCCAAATTAAAAGACCCCCAAGACTCTCATCTTCTCAAAGATCCATTTTATTAGAGATGTCATATTGGCTTCCGGGGGACGCAGTGGCTCAGTAGCTAAGACGCTGAGCTTTGTCGATCAGAAAGGTTGGCAGTTTGGCAGTTCGAATCCCTAGCGCCGTATACCCGAGTGAGCTCCCATTCCTTGTCTCAGCTTCTGCCAACCTAGCAGTTCGAAAGCATGTAAAAATGCAAGTAGAAAAATAGGGACCCCTTTGGTGGGAAGGTAATAGCATTCCGTGCGCCTTCGGCATTTTAGTCCTGGCGGCCACATGACCACGGAGACGTCTTTGGACAGCGCTGGCTCTTCTTCGGCTTTGTAATGGAGATGAGCACCGCCCCCTAGAGCCGGAAACGACTAGCACATATATGCGAGGGGAACTTTTACCTTTATTGACTTCCAAGATGATATTCATATTAAATTTGCAAATATTTTATCCCAAGAAAACAACCACAACGTGGACTTTCGGCCATGATTGGTCTTTATTTTTTTTTTTAAGATGTCACTAGTAACACATTGGTCAAGCCATCTCAAGCATGATTCCTAAGTCAACCTACCCTAGGTTCTCTTTAAGATTTTATTAAAACCAAGACCTCTAAAGGATTTTGATTTTTTTTTCATTTAAAAAAAACGCCCCCAACAACCTTTCCTGACTAATGTACAATTTAAGGCTGCCTCTAATATTACTTTAACACATCTTAAAGGTTATTTGAGTTAAGATGCATGCAACTATCACAACGGAAGAGTTCTCTACCCAAGCTCCCTTCTGCAGTAAAATCTTTCCTCCTATATGATCCTTGCAGGCAATTCGGTTGTAGCCTGAAAGACTAATGGGGCAAGTTATGTTAGAAGCAGCCAGTAGTGGCAACATCTGTAAAGGAGAAAAGGGAAGGAAAAAAAAAAAAGGTACATGTCATACATAAATCAGTCTCGGCCTTCCTGCCCCTAGAAGGGCTGAAAGGGATTGGAACCAAGTATTTACAAATTCCATATCCTAATATATTTACAATAGAAACCAATGCATTTAAAAGTTTTTAAATATAGTATTTTACTCTGCTATATTAGTTTACACAAACACAGATTACCTCTGGAATGAGTTTTTTCCGGCCCGCTCTTTACATTTAAAAAAAGGAAAAGAAAAGCTTTAAAAAGGAACCCAACCGAGAACCACGAGCTACCTTTGGCTCCTGAGCCATTCCTTACCCGACGCCACGGGACGGACTTCCGTGCAGAAGCCCGGCCTTTTTCATCAGACCTACTTTCAAGCTGCAATTAAAAACTCAACGTGAAAACATCAAGGAAGAGTCCAAGCCACCCTGGTGAAAACAGGATTGCTTTTAAGTCGTTTGCTAGCATTTTACTCTTTACTAATCCAAAAGTCGAGGAGGAGAAACCACAGTTTTCGCTGTTGGGCTCTGTTTACGTTCCTCCTTCCGGTCAAAAGGGCTGGAGTATGTATCGTCCTTTCCCGGCAGTTAGGTGGGGAGGGTCTTGTCTTCTTTGCTGAAAGGTTGAATGGAGCCCGGTTTGACCCACGACAGGCCCGAGACTTGCGTGTTCTTGCATTGCTGGTCATCTCCTTTCTTCTAGGAAGAAACAAAGGCGGGGAAAAATGCATCTTTGGTTGCAAACTTAGCCATTTTGTTGTCTTCGGCAAGCCTTTCGTTGTTCTTTTAATGTACTCCCTCCTTACTCAGCTGAGTAATCCACAATGCAGCGGGTTCTAAAAGGAATTAAATACTCTACAACAGAGGTCTCCAACCTTGGCAACTTTAAAACTTGTGGACTTCGACTCCCAGAATTCTCCAGCCAGCTGGCTGGAG